CCCGCCCCCCCCTCTGCCCCACCTCTCATCTCCTACTCTATCCTCTTCCCTTGATATTCTCTCCAAAGCTCCTACCACGCCGCCAACTCTCTCTCCTTCCACGCATTCTCAAAGCCTCATCTCTCCCTGCTGAACCTGCTTCTGCAGGTGCCCTCAAATTTCCCCCCTCTATGGCTCTTCCTTTATCAGTTCTCGCAACCTCCTCCCTGACCTCCCTCCCTCCCTCCCTCCCTCCCTCCGTCCCTCCCACCACAATCTCCCTCCTGTTCTATGGACGTCTCCTCCCACCTCCCTTACTCTTCTCTCCATCGGTCCATTGCATCCTCCTCGTACTCTGAAAATTCTCCTGTGCGCGTTATTCTAACCTTGCCCCTCATCTTTTGGAGACCACTCATTCAACCGTCTTTTCCTGCATTTGCCAAACCACCACCACCTCCTCCTCCTCCTTCTCCTTCCTCTCCTCCTCGTTCTCCTCCTCCTCCTCTTCTTCCTCCTCCTCCTCCTCCTCCTTCCGCTCCTCCTCCTCCTCCTCCTCCGTGTTCTCCCTCACCTCTCCTTTTTGAACCATGTTCAACTGAGGGAATACTCACACCAAAGGATTTTGAACTTGACTCTGGACATTCTCACGGCCAGATACATGCGCTGATGGTCATAATTTTGATCAGATACATCCTTTATTCTCAGCAAACCTCCCTTGTTGGTAAATGAAGTGTTGTTCGGGTATCGACGGCTGTTTTTGACACTCCACAGCGTCTTGCTGTGCACAATCTTCCATGCAGAATATGCTTCTATCATCTGTAAATGTCTGTATGTCTTGGTGCATGCTGTATATCTTTTCCCTCTACTCTTCTAGTATATCCCCTTTTCTGAAGTTTTCTTATTTTTTTATAGTTTTTTTTTTGAAGTGTACTCCTATTATTGGTGTGAGTATTCCCTGAGCTGAACATGGTTCAAAAAGGGGAGGAGAAGGAGAACACGGAGAAGGAGGAGGAGGACGAGGTGCAGTTGGAGGAGGTGGGGAAGGTGGTGGTTTGGTTCTCAACGGCTTTTGTTGAAGAGTACACTCCACAGCGTTTTTTTTAGCATTTTCTTCATTGCCTTCCTCTTTTGCTAAAGAATTTATTATTTACACGTCAAAGTGCCCTGGCCAAACAGGCCTGTGATTCAACGGCACTTGGGGCAAGTGAAATTTAAAGGCAGTGCCCGAAACATGTGACAAAGTCATGCCTCCCATAGCATAGGCATGCATGCTCTCTCTCTCTCTCTCTCTCTCTCTCTCTCTCTCTCTCTCTCTCTCTCTCTCTCTCTCTCTCTCTCTCTCTCTCTCTCTCTCTCTCTCTCTCTCTCTCTCACGTGCAGCACCCCTCTTTCGATCCCTCTGTTCTCACAATGCACAAAGAAGAACAGCACTCTGCAGCACGGCTAGGTGGTTCTGTGTGGGCTTGGGGGTCGTTATGTGGCGTGGGTGATACTATGTGTGTAGGGTGGCACCATGTGGACTGGGCGGTCTGGCTGTGGGGTACTATGTGGGGCAGGTCATACTATGTGGACTGGATGGTGATATGTGGGCCAGACAGTAGAATGCAGGGGAGGTGGGTGATGCCATCTGGGCTGGGTGGTACAATGTGGAGTACGTGTCTCCCGAATCACGTATTTGTTCCCCCCCCCCAAAAAAAAAAAAAATCAATGCACGGTGTGTGGGTGCTGCTATGTAATCTGGGCTGTGGGACGCCCCCCCCCCCACCGCCGTGGACTCGAAAGAGCACATTGAATACTTGAGCAGTACGAATCCGTCGGCGCTCGGTCGGGTGAGACTAACTAAGCAGACGTTGGCTGCTTCGACGTCTACCGACTTCGTACCACTTCTGGAAATAAATTAAATTCTGCCCGACTCAGCCTGAGGGAAAAAAAAAGAAAAAAAAAAAGCCTGAGCAGCGGAAAGGTCTGGAGGCCCACGCCTTGAGAGATACCATCATTTGAACGAACCAGCCCTAGGTAATCCAGAATTGTAATATTTTACTCCTCTGCTTCTTTCAGTGTAGTTCGAAGTTCGAACTCAGGTCTGTATTTCAACAGTCCAGTTCGGGGTGGTGGTTTACCAACTGAGCTAGGCCAGTTGGTGAAGCCGAAGAAAACTTGCCCTCGAGAGAGAACCCCAATCCTTTGCCGCGTGGGGAAATAGCAGGCGTCGGGTGGGCCTCTGACCTTGTCGGAGGCCGAAACGAAACGATGGCTGCCGATCAGATTTATCAATGGCAGCCGTCGTCGGGCCCGGCCTCCAAATTTTTAGGAGCTTGGGAAACTGCCACTTTTCCCTATTTTCCCAACACTGGCGAAGGTACTACCCGGTAGTGGTTTAACAAAAGGCGGGTATAGCATACGACATCTGATTACCCCATCACAGTTCAAGCTCTTGACCTGTTTACCGAACAGGTACATGTGTCCTGTTCGTCCGGGTGGCCCCCGGTGTCTCTGGACGCGGCCAAGCAAACAATTGAGGACGTGCCTCAGAATTCGAGGTCGTCATCTGTCACAAACAGCAAAATGAAATGCCACAAAGTGACGAAAACAAGAGCGAAAAGAAAAGAAGTTGAAAACTATGCCTAATGGGCGTGGCTGCACAACTCTGCAAATGAGCAAAATGAGACTGAATTCAACCCTAGAACATGGAAAGATACATTGCCATCTTTTTGGTTTTTTGTGCATGTGGGAGAGTAGTGCAGCGAGGCCCAATGTTGTGGTATATTTGTCTGTGATTCAGTACAGTTCCAGCTGACGACTTATTTACTAACCCTTCCCYCCCCCCCCCCAAAAAAAAAAAAAAAACTAACCCCAAAACAAAACCACACAGAGAGACCACAAAAAGACGAAACCATGCAAAAAGACGACAAACCAAACCAGGCAAAAAGACAAAAACGAAACCCCTGTTACGATCCTGGCCAATTTCGAAGTACACGTTCATCAGAAAGTACAATGCCGTCCAATTGCAAAAAGAAATGAATGAACTTGAGAGGAGAGAGATGGAAAGAAGAAGAAGAGGAAGAAAGAAAGAAGAAGAAGATGATGTACTCCAGCATAGACCAATGATAATGCTCTTCTCCTTCGCCAACCACTCTCCTCCTCCTTATCTCCTCCCCTCTTATTCAAACAAGAAATAACAATAATAATGTTGCATGGCTGAACCAGAATCAATGTCCGAATCCCTCTTCTACTGCAGGCACACCATGAGGTCCACCATAGCCATGGCTACCCGTCCTCTTCCTCTTCATGTGGGACGAGGCTATGGCGGACTACTGAGGGCTCTACCCTCCTGTCCAAAGGACAACCCAAAGCAGCTATGTCGCTGCCTTCCTGTGCGAAGGACAACACAAAGCAGCTATGCCGCTGCTCATTAGGCCACCATGCCTGACTCTGCCCCGAGCTTCCTTGTTGCGGCACTACCCCAACTGGGGCCTTCCAGATGCAGCGCCTAAGAAGGTGATGAAGATGGTGTCCACCATACCTAGGTAGGTACCTTGCCACTCTCCTCCTTGGTCCTCTTCTCCCTCCTCCTCCTACCGGTAGAGCTCCACCATAGCCGAGGTGGAAGTTCCTGGGCTTCTTCCTCCCAGCAGCGCTGTAGTAGCCAGTGCTCCAGCAGTGTGTCGCCAAACTTGCACACCGAAGAATGGGGCTGGGCTCTTCGCTCAGCCTCAAGATATAGCGGCCTACCTGCCTCCTGGGCGGTGACTTCCAGGCCGCTCGGCCTCCCAAGCAACCGGTACCTCCTCCCTTTCGGAGGGAAGCATCATTGCAGACTCTGATATTGCCCGCACAGGCCCTAGACTCAGACTGGATGGACTGGTACCCGCCTAGACCTAGCCTACGGCTACTGGGCCTCTAAAAAGCCAACTTTGTCTTCTTCTGCTCGGCCTCGAGTACCTGGCACATCTACTTCTACTGGATGCAGTACCGGCCTACCTGCTACTTAGTGTTTTTCCGCTGCTGTAAGTGCCACGGGGCTCTCACTCCGCCACTTGAGTGTTTTCCCTGCTGCAATCCTCAATATCACAGCCACAGGTAAGTACCAGCCCTACGGGCCTCCCAAACAAGCGAGTACCCTTGCGGGTCACACACACACTCACGCCGACAAGCACTCAGACAGGCACGCAGGTCATCAAGCACGCACACACACAGACTTAGAAAACTCAGCAGAATGCGGGATTCTCAGCAAGGCATCCATTCCATCGGCAGAACTCAGAAATCAGCAGTGTTCTCAGTCCGTGTTATGGCGGGTCATTACACCCCCAAAAAAGACAAAAACAAGAGCCCCTCCCAAAACCAGCACTCTATTTGACAACCAGGCAAAAAGATGAAAAAGAAACCCCAAAAGAAAGACAAAAAGGAACCCCCCCAAAAAAGACAAAAACAAAAAAAAAAAACTCTTCCCAAAACAAGCATAGTTCGAGCTCATGCCAAGAGAACATGCCTCAAGGCTCAAACGGGAATATGCTCCCGAACTGGTTGCTGACAATAACATGTGTGCTCCTCCTCCACACGGGACAGGCCTGAACCCGCATATGAACAGCTTGTGGCCACCGTGTCACCCTCGGGAAAAGTTTTGCTTGGGCCCAATGGGCCGCGCCTTCTGAGACCCGTTTTATGTTATGCTTCAGGTATGAATCCGTATGATGATGAAATATGGATTATTTAGTATTTGCCCTGAGAAAGTGGATGGAGTTTGGATTCTGAAGTTCTGTCCTTCTCTTGCTGTGTCAACAACTCTCTCTCTCTCTCTCTCTCTCTCTCTCTCTCTCTCTCTCTCTCTCTCTCTCTCTCTCTCT